AGCTTGTTGAAACGGACTTCTAATTTCTCCTTCATTGGGTGAATTAACCCTTCCAGTGCCAGAACTGCCTTTAAGTTAAGTAATACTTTTACCAAACAAGTCAATTCCTATTATTTATATTACACAGTGTCTAAAACTCACTAAGGTGTCACTTTGTCTAATTATTCCTCTTATTCATAAGGGAATGCTACAAACCCTAATTTTACCTTCATGGGTATTTAAAGGTACAGTGACCATTGTTTCATATCAATGTAAAAGGAGGTGAAACTTATTGTTGTTGCAACCAGGAAATGCTGCAGTTGAGTTCCAAGTAAAGAAATATTACAAAATAGTTATTACAGAATAATTCAGCCTAATTCAATGGAACCAGCAGATATCAACTCTCAAGTTTCTACCCTAACCAATAGAGTGGATACGATTGCTCAAGGGTTACAGGAACTGCAAATTACAAATGAGAGAATATTAACCTATGTTAGAGACATTCAAGGTCATCTTCCTCATGCCGCTCTTTAATCGGCTGGTGATCCTGCTGTCTGTAATCCAGAAAAATTTTATGGAGATAGAACAAAGTACAGAGAGTTTTTGAATTCTTGCAAACTACTAATAGCTTTAAAACCTAGATCTTATCCCACCGAAAGATCCAAAGTCTGCTCAGTGATCTCTTTTTTAAGAGGTGAACCTATGGCCTGGGCCCATTCCTTTTTGGAAAATGATGATCCCATATTAGATTCATTGGATGAGTTCTTTGAAGCTATGTCTTTATTATATGAAGATCCTTTTAAACAAACTACTGCTGATTTAACCATCAGAACATTACACCAAAAGAATAGACCTGTTGAAGATTATATTACAGAATTCAAAAGATGGGCTACAGAAACCCAATGGAATGACATTACTTTACGCAATCAATTCCGTCTCGGATTATCTGAAGCTGTGAAAGATGAACTCTCTCGTACAGAACTTCCTCCTACCTTAAATGCATTGATTCAACTGTCCATCAGTATTGATAGACGTCTAAGAGAAAGAAAAGCTGAAAAGGTTCTTACTAATTATACCTGGAGAAAACCTTTCACTACTCTAAAATTACCTGAAAAAATTCCTCCCCAAACTGAACCTATGGAAGTAGGTATAATAAAAAGTCCTCTTACTTCTGAAGAAAGAATAAGAAGGAGACAACTAAACTTATGTATGTATTGCGCCTCGAACGAACATCTAATTTCCGAATGTCCTCTACTGAAACATTCAAAAGGTGGTAAGCTTCATTCATCTACCTCTATATTGAACGTTTTTCAAAAAAGAAAAGCATCTACTTATTTTTCTATATCTCTCTTATTACAGTGGGATACAAAAAGAATCGTGACTGAGGCCATCATTGATTCTGGTGCTAATGGAACTTTTCTTGATTTTTCTTTTGTTTCAAAAAATAAAATTCCTTGTGTTCAAAAAACCAACTTTATTCCAATCAGAGTTATTGACGGTTCATTTATATCCTCAGGACCCATCAAAAATGAAACAATCCCTCTAAGAATGATTACCAACAACGTACATTTCGAATTCATTACATTTGATATTATTAAATCTCCACTTTATCCTGTCATTCTAGGAATTAATTGGTTAAAAAACCATGATCCTTTAATTAAGTGGTCTCCTTTCTCCATCTCCTTTGCTTCTGATTTCTGTAAAAAAACGTGCTTACAACACATTCCTATTCTCCAAACTACTGTAGAACCAGTTATACCTCCATTCTACTCCGATTTTGCAGATGTCTTTTGTAAAAAAGAAGCGGAAACACTTCCTCCTCATCGGGTATATGATTGCCCAATAGATCTCATACCCGAGCTCCTATTCCTTATGGTCATATTTATCCACTCTCTGAAAAGGAGTTAGAAATTTTAAAAGAATATCTTAATGAAAATTTACGCAAAGGGTTCATCAGACCCTCGACCTCCCCAGCTGCTTCTAGTATTTTCTTTGTGAAGAATAAAGACCAAACCATCCGTCCTATTATAGATTACAGAGCCTTAAATAAAATAACTATTAAAAATCGTTATCCTCTTCCACTAATAAATGAATTAATTGAAAGGTTAAGAACTGCAACTATATTCACTAAACTCGACCTTCGAGGCGCATATAACCTCATTAGAATAAAACAGGATGATGAATGGAAAACCGCCTTCCGGACAAGATATGGTCTCTACGAATATCTAGTGATGCCTTTCGGGCTCTGTAATGCCCCTGCAACATTTCAACATTTCATAAATGATATCTTTAGAGATCTTCTGGATGTATGTGTTATTATCTACTTAGATGATATCTTAATATATTCTAACAATTTGAATGAACATAGGAAGCATGTTAGATGGGTTCTATCTAGACTGAGAACTCATAAATTATACGCTAAACCAGAAAAATGCCTTTTTGAGGTTACTGAATTCTCTTTTCTAGGATACATTATTTCACCTCATTCTTTGAAGATGGATAATTCCAAAATCAAATGTATTATTGACTGGCCTGCTCCTACTACTACAAAAGAATTACAACGTTTTCTTGGATTTGCAAACTTCTAGAGAAAATTTATTAGAAACTATTCGGATGTATCACATCCTCTTAACCTCCTCAACAGTAGTAAACGTCCTTTCAATTGGAATAAAAATGCACAAACGGCTTTCGACGAATTAAAAAAAAGATTTACAACTGCACCTATTCTACAACTACCTAATCCAACATCCTTATATGTTCTTGAAGTTGATGCATCAGATGCAGCCATTGGAGCAGTTCTTTCTCAACAAAAGACTCCACAAGATCCACTACATCCAGTTGCCTTTTTTTCAAGATCCTTGAGCTCTGCTGAAAAAAATTATCCTATTGGAGAAAAAGAATTATTAAGTGTTAAAGCTGCCTTCGAAAATTGGCGTCATCTTCTGGAAGATACAAAACAACCTATAATAGTTTATACTGACCATAAAAATCTTGAATATCTCTATACTAACAAAACTCTTACAGCTAGACAAGTTAGATGGAATCTATTTTTTAACCGATTTAACTTCCAATTAATATACAGACCTGGAAACAGAAATAAAAAGGCTGACGCTCTTTCTCGAATTCCTTCTAAAACTACTACTGATGATTATCCTCCTACCAAAATAATAGGGATCCTCTCTTCTCTTCATGATGACATAAAGAATTTGAATCAGAAGGATCTTGAACTTCCCAAAAAACCTATACTAACAAAAAAGGATGGTATATTCTATTTTAAAAATAGAATTTATATTCCTCCCATTCTTAGGAATAAATTACTTAAGATGGTTCATGATTCCCCCCTAGCTGGACATCCCGGAATAAAGAAAACACTTGAACTAACTTCACGATATTATTGGTGGCCTCGCCAGGATAGAACCATTAAATTATATGTCAAAACATGTCCTATCTGTCAAAGGTCTAAACCAGAACATAATCAACCTTTTGGATTACTACTTAACTTACCTATTCCAGAAAAACCTTGGCAATCCATTTCTATGGATTTTATCGTTGATCTTCCATCTTCTCAACATTTCACCACTATTCTTGTCGTTGTGGATCGCTTCACAAAAATGTCCCATTTCATTTCCTTAAAAAAATTACCCTCCTCTGTAGAAATGTCTAAGGTCTTTATTGACAATATTGTGAAACTTCATGGTCTTCCTGAAGAAATTATTTCTGATAGGGGGACACAATTTACCTCCAAATTCTGGAAAGAGATGTGTCTCTCCCTTCAAATTCAACGCAAACTCTCTTCTGCTTATCATCCCCAAACTAATGGGCAAACAGAAAGGGTTAATCAATGTTTGGAACAATATCTTCGATGTTATTGTTCATACCTCCAAGATGACTGGACCACATGGTTACCTATGGCCGAATTTTCTTACAATAATACCATTCATTCTAGTACGAAAATGACTCCTTTCTTCTCCAACTATGGTTTTCATCCGTCTTCATTCCCCATCCAAAACATTACTTCATCCAATCCTACTGTTACATCAAAAAACGAATTTATGTCTTCTCTATTTCTCAAATTACGGGAGAATCTTCAACTCGCCCAAAATAACCAGAAAAAGTTTTTTGACAATAATAGAAGAATTCCTCCTCCTTACAACGTAGGGGATCTTGTCTGGCTTTCTTCAAGAAATATTACCACAAGCCGTCCTTCCAAGAAATTGAGCTCTCTTTTTCTTGGTCCCTTTCAAGTAATTACTATCATTAATGATAACGTTGTTAAACTAAAACTTCCTCCAAATTTTAAACTTCATCCAGTATTCCATGTCTCCTTACTTAAACCACACATCCCTGATCCTTTTTATAGAGAACCAGTAACAACTCCTGAACCTATCATTGTCCAAGGTGAAGAAGAATATGAAATTCACAAGATTTTGGATTCTCGTGTCCACCGTGGCTCCTTACAATACCTTATCAGATGGAAAGGTTATGGAGTTGATGAAGACACTTGGGAAGATTCATCTAATGTACATGCTAGAAGGTTAGTTACTGCCTTTCACAAACGCTACCCCTCCAAACCGAAATAGTGCACCCAGAGGATGCCCCATGAGAAGGGGGTACTGTCATGTTTAGCATGGCATATAATTCATCGCCGGAACCCACTTCCGGGTTCACGGCGCTCAGCCCCGCCCTTTTTCTGACGCGGTCCCTCCACGGTACTTAGGAGGACCGCGCCTGATTCAAAGGGCTGAATTATTCGCACAGGTGTTGCATGAAGATCAGCTGTTCTACTTTGATCCTACCTGCTCCACTTCTATACCTCGGCTAGTAAACGGATTTCTACCTTCTCCACTTCTCGACCTCGGCTAGTAAACGGATTTCTACCTTCTCCACTTCTCGACCTCGGCTTGTAAACGGATTTCTACCTTCTCCACTCCTAGACCTCGGCTTGTAACTCTGAATTCTACCTTCTCCACTCCCAGACCTCGGCTTGTTAAAACGGACTTCCCCACTCTCCACTCCCAGTTCTCAGCTTGTTGAAACGGACTTCTAATTTCTCCTTCATTGGGTGAATTAACCCTTCCAGTGCCAGAACTGCCTTTAAGTTAAGTAATACTTTTACCAAACAAGTCAATTCTTATTATTTATATTACACAGTGTCTAAAACTCACTAAGGTGTCACTTTGTCTAATTATTCCTCTTATTCATAAGGGAATGCTACAAACCCTAATTTTACCTTCATGGGTATTTAAAGGTACAGTGACCATTGTTTCATATCAATGTAAAAGGAGGTGAAACTTATTGTTGTTGCAACCAGGAAATGCTGCAGTTGAGTTCCAAGTAAAGAAATATTACAAAATAGTTATTACACACAGAGGCCTTCGCCGAAAAAAAACTACAGTGGACAAAAGTACAGAAAAGCGACTAAAGCACACTTTAAGACACAGAGAATACCCGCCACAGGGGACTGTAACACACGCTCAATTTATGCAGGACTTGCCTCTTGTGGAGGCTTAATGCGCTACCATGTTCCTCACTTATTAGTGACTGTACACGTCAGACTCATGATTAACAAAAGAGGTATTGTTATAAATGTTAGAGAGTAGCGACCAGAGTCATAAAATTACGTGAGAGATGGGTAATGAGGCCCTAGTAAAAACCCAGTTGAGGGGAAAAAAAAAATCCAACAAAAATAAATAAATACATTTAAAAAAAAAATGTAAGTAGAGGTTGTCTTTTTGTTAACATTGTCTGATAAAGCCCTAGGGAAATAAGGTGGGCAGGACCCCACAGAAAGCAGGAATGGGCATATGTGTTCCCTTTGGGCTCACTGTACTATAACTTTCCGCATTCTGCCTAGAGTACTTTCTAGAGCATACCAATGAACAAGATATTTCCATATACCAAAAACAGCTTAATTCCTGCAAATTCATCCCATCTTCATTCCCCCACACAGGTGGTTGAATCGAAAGGATTCAATGGTATTCAACCACCGCCAATCGCTTGCAGGGCTTCTACTGCAAGGAAGTTTTAGTTGTAATGGTTATTGTATATACTTTTGTTTATGTTTTTGGCTATATGTGGCTGCACTTGCATTATATTTGTAGACTTAGCTATGGCTGACCTGCGATCTTATATAAGGAGAATGGGGAGATTGATAGCACGGATGGATATGGGAGTGTTGGTTGGCAGGTACATTAAAACCTAACTCATAATGGCACAAGACTTTTGGGTACTTACGCTAAATGTGAATGGTCTAAATACACCTTATAAGAGGAGATTGGTGTTCCAACAAATGCATACAACACACGCTGCAGTGGTATGTTTGCAGGAAGCGCATTTTTGCGCTCACAAACCACCTAATTTTAAATCACCCAGATATTCGGTGTCTGACTATGCTTATGCTCAGAATAGAACCATAGCGTGTACGCTTTTACACGCATAATAGATATTTAAATGTGAAAGGGAATATAAAGATACAGAAGGTAGATTGCTTATCTTAGTAGGCTCCTTAAATGATGAACAAATAGCAATAGGAAACCTGTATGTACCTAACAATAACCAGATAGGCTTTTTACAAAAAGCATTTCAGCAAATTGAGAAAATCAAAAGGGGCAAACTGTTTGTATGCGGGGATTACAATTGCGTACTAGACCAGATATCTCGGAAAAGGGGAAACTGACGCCCAGGAAAATGGCACTAAGTGACAGGATAACGAACCTCATACATTCACATGGCCTGTATGACACCTAGAGGGTGAAATACCCAGGACTTAGAGATTATACCTTCTATTTGTGAGTACACGATAATTACTTCAGAATAGATATGTGTCTTACAGATGCTACTACATTGCAAACACTGATGGAGTTGCAAATAGATCCTATAACTTGTTCGGACCATGACCCGGTGTGCTCCACATTTGACACTACCTATCAGATTAGGGGTAAAGGGACCTGGTGCCTCAACTAAGCATTATTAAATAATAAACTGGGCGAGGCAGAAGTCAGGGCTACGATAGAATACTTTTTCAGTAAAAATTTAGATTCGGACACCAGTGATGGTTTTATGATGGACCCTGTTAAGTCCATTCTACAATGGCCTTTACCAAGGGGACTTAAAGCTATACAACGCTTTGTTGGGTTTTCCAATTACTATAGGCGCTTCACTAAAGGGTTTTCGTCCATAGCAGCACCTACAACAAACATGACTAGGAAAGGTGCGAATATCAAGATGTGGTCATCCTCTGTTTTATCTGCTTTTGAAACCCTTAAGAAAGCTTGTGCTTCTGCCCCAATATTGGTTCATCCCAACACCAAATTACCCTTTTTACTTCAAGAAGACGCATCTGAAACAAGTATAGGGGCAGTTTTGTCTCAAAGACAAAATTCCGATACACCTTCCATGTGGATTCTTTTCAAAGAAATTATCCGACACAGAGAAAAGGTATGACATTGGAGATAGGGAGCTGTTGGCAGTAATAATGGCATTGAAGGAATGGAGATATCTGTTAGAAGGGACATTACATCTGGTTACCATTTTAAAAAACCATAAAAACCTGTCTTATATAGGAGAGGCTAAGAGATTATCTGCCAGACAAGCTCGTTGGTCCTTGTTCCTTACTCGATTTAACTACATGCTTACTTACAGGCCTGGATCAAAAAATTCTAAAGCAGATGCCTTGTCACATCAACATGAGCCTACTGCATTCACCGAAACAACTATGTCCCCTATCGTTCCCAAGCAGAATATTATAGCCAACACTAGCATAAATATAAAGGTGAATTCCACTCTTATCACCAATATCGAGCAGAAGCAATACCTACCTCCAGAATGAACTCCAGGGGGAAAAAGATATGTCCCTCCTGTATTCCAAAAGGAGATACTTCTATGTTTTCATTACAGTAATATAGCCGTACACCCTGGTATACATAAAACATATTCTCTTGTTTCTAATGAATTCTGGTGGCCTACTTTGTGTAAGGATATAAGAGACTATGTCATGGAAATATGTGCTAAAAACAAACAACCATTCATACTCTTCTGTGTGGTTTGCTTCAACCTTTGGACATACCGAAAAAACCATGGGTCAGTTAAGCTATTGACTTTATTGTCAATTTACCATTATTTAACAAGCAAACTGCAATCCGTACCATTGTTGATATATTTACCAAATTGGCTCATTTTATTCCCCTACCCAAATTGCCTTCCTTCCCCAAATTAGCTGATATATTTGCTAAAGAGATTTTCCGTTTACACTGGATTCCTACAGAAATTCTCCCAGATAGGGGTTCTCAGATCGCATCACGTTTTTGGAGAGCTTTCTGTTTTCAGATGGGTATCACGCTGAATTTCTCATCAGCTTATCATCCTCAATCAAATGAAGCAGCCGAGCGTACTAATCAAAATATTGAACAATATCTACAATGTTTTGTTTCTGAATATCAAGAAAATTGGGTTGGTCTGATTCCTTGGGCTGATTTTGCACATACCAATCTCGTTTGTGATTCTACGCGAAAAAGTCCCTTTTTCATGAATTAAAGTCCCTTTTTCATCCAACCGTTCTACCTTCTATATTGCCTTTGCAGGGTATACCGATGGTTGACGAACACGTTGCCAACCTGAGAAAATTATGGGATTAGACACAACAAATCCTTACACAGAATTCTGTCCTGTTCAAAAAACATGCAGATAAATGTAGAAGCGCTGCTCCTGTTTATCAACCGGGTGATATGGTATGGATAAGTACTAAACACATACGATTGAAGTTTGCTCCTCGCTACGTAGGGTCTTACAAGTTCTTACGTAGGATCAATCCTGTGGCATTTCAGCTTGCTCTTCCCTCTACCTTGTGCATTCCCAATTCCTTTCATGTCTCCTTGTTGTAGCCTCTGACCTGTAACAGGTATACCAGTCTCTCTTCTCCTCCTTCCTCCGTCCCGGTTGAGGGTCAGGGGGGAATATGAAGTCAAGTCCGTTCTTGATTCTCATATTTCCCATGGGAAACTACAATACCTCATTGATTGGAGGGGTTATGTTCCTGAGGAGAGGTCCTGGGTGGCTCATGAGGATGTCCATGCTCCCCGTCTTCTCGGCTTTTCAGGCATGCTTTTCTTCTCGTCCTGGTCCCTTCCACGCGGTGGGTGTTTCTCGAAGGGGGGGTACTGTCAGGGTACCTGTGGTTACTGCCCTGGCAGGAATCCAGGCTGTGGGTCTTCTCCCACGTGATGGGGAGACACCTTCCATTCCCTCCTCTCAACTCGGCCCTTCAGACGCTGGCCAGGGTAGCTGCGCCCCTTTTTATGATGCATGCGTGCCGACGTCATGACGTCGATGGCGTCAAAGCCCCCCAAAACTTTCGAATTAGAATGTTTTGGGGGCTTGGTCATCACTTAAAGAGCCAACCTATAAAAAGTACTCACTTGCAATGAACCTTTTTAGGTTCCACATTGTTAGCGCACTATGTCAAAGGGTTCCACAGGAAAAATTAATTGGGAACCCCTGTATAGAGCAATAAGGTTGACCAGAGCAGCCACACATTGCATTCAGCAACTAGAGGCAGCACACAAGTTATGGCTGAGATGGTACTTAACGCTTCAGTATCTGGCACATATGTACCCAGACAGTTCTCCTGTTTGCTGAAGATGCAAGGAGGGGGAGGAATCTCTAAGCCACATATTTTGGCAATATGAAAAGATTGTCTCCTTGTGGAAACAAATCCAACAATTAATATACAATGTCACCGACATCTTACGGCCCTTGAAACCAGAAATATAATACCTACTACATATATTCCCTCACGGAGTGCTGCAGCAGGAAACCGTATTGATTATTCAAATTATGATAGCCGCAAAAAACGGTATTGCCCAACTGGAAATCCACACAAATCCCATTAATCCGAACAATACGAGAGATGGTATCGAATATCAAAACACTTGAACAAATGGCCTTCAATATAACGGCACAAACTCAACATATTTGAGAAGATCTGGGCAAAATGGAAACAAGTTAGGGTGGGGGTAACTTTATAGTTGTCTTACAGACAGTATAAATAGAGGGCACACTACGAGGAGAGCAGAAAGCTCACAGACAGGTGCTCTGGTCATCTAGTTACATTGCCGAGCCATAAGGCATATCTCCGGCAGCCATAACAAGATGATTTTGTTTTGTTAAATATCTATGTTTACTATTGTGATTTATGATGACACTATTGTTATGTTTTGAACTTTCCATAATGCA